TGAACACTGGTGTACAAGTCTCCGTTTGTGTCTCAGTTCCAATTTTCTCTGAGTATATTCCTGGCAGTGGAATAACTGAATCATGTGGAACTTCTTTATTCAGCTTTTTGAGGCAACAGCAAACTGCCTTCCAGAGTGGTTGTACCATTTTACAATCCCATCAACAATGTATATGAGTTCCTATCTCAGGGGGAGGGATAGGCAGGGAGAAAAATGCAGCAATGAATGAATGGAAATCAAAAGTCTCTGTGAACGTTCATTAAAATTAATAATAAAAAAAATTCCTATCTCATAGAGAAGCTGTGGTATAATCACACAACGGAATACTATGCTGCAATAAAAAAGAAGGAACTCATGAAATACTATACAACAAGGGTGACCCTGGAGGACATTATGCTGAGTGAAATATCTCAATAAAAAAAGGACAAATACTGCATAGTGCCACTATTGTAAAATGGGACTGACATTGGGGTTAGGGAGAGACTGAGAAAGATAGGATAAATTATGGATACTGCATTGAAATAGATGAGGGAAAGAACTGTATGAAAGGGATATATGATTAGGTATTATTTTCATGACAGGAGTCCAGACGAAAGCTGCATAGTGGAGTGGACTTGGGGTGGAGAGATAGTATAACAATGAAATAATTTCTCTTTAACTTTTCAAAACAAAGACTGTATACTTGAGTGGACTTGCAGGGATTGTCTAACAATGAAAGAATTTTTCTTTTACCTTTCAAAGAGAAGAGCAAACTGAGGGGGAGGTTGGGCAGCGAGAAAAGGGCAACAATGAATGAAGAGAAACTCAAAGTCTCTGTAAACTTTCATTAAAATTAATAATAATAATAATAATAAAAAGAGTTCCTATCTCTGCATCCTCTCCAACATTTATTGCTTGCTGTCCTGTTAAACTCTGCCATTTCTACTGGAGTGTGATGGTATCTCATTGTAGCACTGATTGGCAACTCTCTTATCGCCAGTGATTTTTAGCATTTCTTCATATGTCTGTTGGCCATCTATATATCTTTCTTTGAGAAAAGTTTTTCCATGTCTTTTGTCCATTTTGTAATTGGGTAGGGTTTTTTTTCCCCCTTTCTTTTTCCTGAAGGTCCTGTAGCACTCTGTAAACTAAAATTATAAGGCCCTTGTCCAAAAAAGTATTGTCAAATGTTTTTTCTAAGTCAGTAGGTTGTCTTTTTGCCCTGTGGGAAAACATTTTTTTTTATGAGCACAGAGTTTTAATCTTTAGACAGTTTCATTCATTAATTTTATCCTTTCCTGTATGGAAAGTCAAATTTCATATTAAATATTTTAATAAACTGAATGCTACTTCAGGTTGTGAGGGAGGCTGATACAAGATGGAATTCACCTGAAGCACTAAGGCAATCCTTAAATGTTTACAGGGGTAGACGCTAGGGCAATCCATAAGCTTTTACAGGATTCTTGCATTGTATTTGCTAACCCCTCCCTCCTGAGTCAAGAGAAGGTTTTCAATAGAAAGAGCTTAGCTTCATTTGCTTTGACTTCTCTTTGTGATTTGCTCCCTGGCAATTTTCAATAAAGATATAGGGAAGCTGGAATCAGGGGGCTTCAGTTTGTTCGAGAACTCTTCGCCTCCTGCTTTACTTTTGTTTTCTCCTACATTCTTGGTATTCTGTTTCATTATTAATATTTAGAAAAATACTTTACCCTTGGTCTGCAATGCTCTGGTTGTATATTTCTGGCTGTATTTGTCAGCCTTTTTATACCATGGCTAGGCATTCTAAGCTTGGTCTCAGTTTGTCTCTTATGATCTTTATGGTTTGGGGCTTTATCCCTAGGTCTCTGATCCATCTTGAGTTGATTTTTCTGTGTGGTGAAAGACATGGATCCTGCTTCAGCTTTCTGCATGTAGTCCAGTTTTGCCAGTACTATTTGTTGAAGAGGCTTTCATTTCCCCATTTCATAGGTTTGTTTCCTTGTCAAATAATCAGTTTATCATAAACAGATGAGTTAATTTCTGGGTTTTTGATTCTGTTCTATTGGCCTATGTGTCTTGCTGTTTTAGTTATTACAGCTGTGTAGTAGGATTTGTGCTCAGGGAGTGCTATGCCTCCCATTTCATTCTTGTTTCTTAGAAGTTCTTTGCTTATTCTAGGTCTATTTCCTCTCCAAATAAACTTGCCAATTGCCTTTTCTATCTGCTTGAAAAACGAATTTGGTATTTGTATTGGGATTGTGTTAAACATGTAGATTGCTTCTGGAAGGATATTCATTTTCACTATATTGAGTTTTCCTATCTGTGAGCAGGGAACATTTTTTGATTTATTTAGGTCTTTTATTATTTCTGGAAGAAGTATTTTGTAGTTTTCTTTGTAAAGGTCATTTGTATCTCTAGTTAGGTTTATTAAAAAGTATCTCAATTTGTGGTTGGCTACTGTAAATGGTATTGCTTTCTAATTTTCCTTTTCTGAGCTCTTTGTTATTGTAGAGGAATCCCACTGACTTTTGTACATCGACCTTGTATCCTGTCACTCTACTAAACTGGTCTACTAGCTCTAGTATTTTTTTGTTGAGTCCTTCAGTTTTCTGCGTACACTATCATATCATCTGCATATAGCGAGTTTTACCATCTCTTTGCTAATTTGGATGCCTCTTTTTTCATTCTCTTGCAGTCCTGCCCAGCAAATACTTCCAGTACAATAATGAATAAGACTGTTAACAGTGGGCATCCTTGTCTAGTCCCTGCTCTCAAGGAGAATGTTTTTAGTCTTTCTGCAATAAGAATGATATTGGCTCTTGGTTTTTGGTTTTAAAGAATCAATTTTCATTTATAGCAAATAAAATTCTGAAACTAATTATTATATACCGGCAGCTGTTCATAGGCTTTAGTGCTAACTAATATTGTGCTTATGTGAAGCCTATAGGTCCAAGTGTACTTGGACCAGGAGGCAGTCGTTAGAACAGAGCAAGGAAACACTGTATGGTTCAAAATCAGGAAAGGGGTATGCAACCTATTTCCATACCTTTTCAATCTATATGCAGAACAGATCATCTGGGAGACTGGGCTCTATGAGGAGGAATGAGGCATCAGGATTGGAAGAAGACTCATCAACAATCTGTGCTACGCAGATGACACAACCTTGCTTGCTGAAAATGAGGAGGACCTGAAATGCTTGCTGTAGAAAGTCAAGGATTGCAGCCTTAAATATGGATTGAAGCTCAATATCAACATCAAGAAAACAAAGATTCTTACCACTGGGCCAATTGGCAGCATCATAATAGACAGTGAAGAGAAGGAGAGTGTTAAGAACTTCGGCCCACTTGGCTCCACAATTAACACTGTTGGTACTAACAGCCAGGAAATCTGCTATCAGGGACCTCTCCAGAGTACTGAAGAGCAACAATGTCAGTCTAGAGACTAAGGTGTGCCTAATCCAGGCCATGGTCTTCACAATTACTTGTTATGCACCAGAGAGTTGGACAATGACTAAGGATGACAGAAGGAGAATTGATGCCTTTGAGCTGTGGTGCTGGAGCAGAATATTGAATATACCATGGGCTGCTAGGAGAATAAACGTGTTCATCCTGCAAAGGGTGAAACCAGGCTGCTCCTTGGAGGCAAGGATTCTGAAGCTCCCCCTGATATACTATGGCCATGTTGCAAGGAGGGACTAGTCCTTGCAGAGGGACATCATGCTTGGGAGGATAGTGGGACAACACAAGAGAAGACCCTCAATGAGATGGATTGATTCAATGACTGGGGTAACAGGGTGGGAGTGGGGAGCTAGGTGTGTTGGAGATGATGAGGTTGGCACAGGATAGAGCAGGGAGCAGGGTTCAGAGCTATTGAACCTATGTTCAACATTTATATAAATGTTAACTTTTTCTGTATCATTATTAAATAGCAGTTGCTGAAGAAAGTCTTAAACTAAAATCTAAGTATCAAACCCTTGAATTTCAATATCTCCAAGTAAGCTCTAAAACTTCTCAATTTTCCTACATATTAAATATTTCTTGCCCTTAGTTTTGAAAATGTCACCAGAGAGAGTTCACTAAGCCTGTAGTCTAGTAAGCCTCCTAGAAGGTAGACTATAACTATAGCATACAGTTTCCAAGGCTATAAATATAGCTCCTGATGGTTTGGCTGCAGTTTTAACCTACCAGCTAATCCTCTGAAGAAAGATGTAGCTATCTGTTTTTTAAAAGTTATAACTTTAGAAATGCTATGAGGCAGTTCTACTCATAGAAAATACTACATGAGCACTATGCATCAGAAATCATTGGCTTGGCAACAAGCTTGTTTATTTGAAATTTCTGTAGAATGGTCAATTATACCTTTATTCCACTGTAAGGCCAGTCCAAATCCCCAAGTACTTAATTTCTATGCCACCAGGATGCTAAGAGGTGGAAAAGACTCAAATCCAACAAGTTTGTGTGTTTTGGTTTATTTGGGTTTTTTTAAAAAAATGCTATGAAGATCAACAATGACATCTAGAGGAAAGCAAGTGTAACTTCCAAAGCAGATAAATATTTTAAGTCTGTTTAAAATTTATAGTAGCCACAAACTTGGTATCACATAAAGTAGTAAAAAATAGGAAATGTACTCCTTTTTATGTAAAGTAATACTCTACTTCTTGACCAAACACAAGTATACCTTCCTCCCAAATTAATAAATCAACTCTTAAACCTCATTACATAAAAGTATAAAATAGAAATATGTTACATATATTTAGATGTTAGTTGTAAAATTTGACCACTTAGAATTTTGACACTTTCAAAATATCTTGAAATATAATGTAGAAATTTAAAACAAATAGTTTTTACCTCAATCATCAGAGATGTACAGAAACTACCTGAGATCTCTGGAATAGAATGGAGATCACAAGATTTAAGAAAAATCACATGAAAGCCACAGCCACAGACCGTTATAGTGACAGATTAAATTATTCTATTGATAATACGAAATAGGCAATGAATCATACTAGTTAGAATGTTTGAAGAGATGAATAATATACTCACAAATAAAATATATACTATATTTGGGTCTTCGAAGCTCTTGAATCAGATAATCCACATTCTCCTAGGAAAAAAGAATAAAAACAAAACAATAAGAAGAAATATTTAGGTGGAAAATAATAACATGTTTCCTGTGAGTTTATTATATGGTAAGGTCTACTTTAAATATGCATTGGTTAGGAAGTAATAGGAATTGTGGACAAAAAAAGTGATAAATATATAGAAAATATAACAACCAGAAACTATATATATTTGTGTGTGTGTAAATATATGTATAATTATTTATATACATGTATGTAAATACTAAATAGTTATATCATTTTGGCCAAATTAAGATAAAAATACAAAGGAACTTGATGTTGAAACATAACCTAAAACTCAAAAGAATTCTGCAAATTTTCTTCAGGTTGCTCGTTCATAAATTCACCTGTCTATAATTCTTTATATAGAATCTCAATATGTCCTTAGGGGTTTTTTTTAACCAAAAATTCAAGAGAAATACAGTGAATCATATTTACTTCAAGGAATTTGGTGGTATAATGGTTACGTTTGACTGCTAACCAAAAACTTGGTGGTTCGGACCCACCAATTGCACTAAGGGAAAAAGACATGGTAGGCAGTCTGCTTCCATAAAGATGTATACAATCTTAAAAACACTATGGGACAGTTCTACTTTGTGCTATAGAATCTACGAGTTGTAATCAACAACAGCAGGCATTTTTACTTTTTTTTTTAACCTTAATGCTTAATATAGCAAGTTATTCAAGGGCTTCAAATGGGGGATGGCATAATATGTCTTTTGGAATGTACATAATGCATAAGCATGATAAAAGAGTACACTGGATCTGATGTGCATGGATATAAAGTGCAATAATACACAAAGACTGAATTAGAAAAGGATTTTTTAAGAGATTAAAAATAGACTTCTATGACGAACAAAATAGACTTAGGTGATGGACAAAGATTAATAGATGACTAAACAACCTTTAAATTAGGGGGAAAGAACAAAAAGGAGACAGAAATGACAATGTAAAGGGATAGTGAAAAGGCCCCTTTGGCTGTAGCATGAGTAAGGTAGGGGCATGAGAAGGCTCATAAATGGGGCAGAACTGACCAGCTTAAAGAGGGTTTTGACTATTGAATTTTTAAGTACAGATTTAACCATAAAAATAAAATTGAGCTACTATATGTTCCTGAGTAAGGAAAATTATAATGACTCAAGGCACTGTTAGTTGTATACACAATTAAGTGGCAATGGAAGTTGCAGTTATGTACTATCAAGTTGACCATGACTTGTAGTGACCCTATGAACAACAGATCTGAACCCTGTCCTAACCTGTGCCATCCTCACCATCTCCAACACACTTGAGCCTATTGTTACAGTGACTATGTCAATCCATCTCATTAAAAGTCTCCCTCTCTCATGCTGACCCCCACCTTTCCAAGCATGATTTCTTTCTCCCAGGACTGGCCCCTAAGGTATGGATGTTAATCCAGAAATAAAGTGATATGGTCTCTACTGTGGTGGTAGCTTTGGAAATAGTAAAAAATGTAAAGCATATGTATATTTTTGAAAAAATAGTTGTTTACTAATTTTACTGTTGTTGATTGCCTTCAAGTTTAGCACTAATCACAGTGATTCTAGGAACAAAAGGCCAGAAGCCTCTCTGTAACAATAGACATTTATCAAAGATCATAGTTTCCAGAGGCACGTTGTTTAGGAAATGGATGCCACTCCTGCTTCCAAACATGTCCATATAGGCCAGATTTTCAGAAGGCTGTAAGTAATGGGCAACCTTATAACTACCACGCAATACAGATGTCAACCCAGACTCTACAGTGTAGCTCAGTATAAGACCAGTAAGGGATCATATGAAAAATAGCATACCAACATATTGATTCTACATTGCCATTTACAGTTAAGTATCTTGAAGGAAGAATTGGCTGTGAGAGGTGGAATAAGATATGGAAAGGAGAAGAGTCAAGAGACAAATCAGAATAGTTATGGTGCCATGAATGATGACTATAAAGTTTATTTTTGCCTTCTTATTGTGTTCAAACCAGAGCATTCTGTGGTTGCTTGGGTAGATGGTAGTTCAGTTCATATAGTACCTTCGTAGGGCGAAGAAAACAGATTGCCTTCAGATGTTTCATAATTTCTCGATTTTGAGAGTCAATACGTTCAAAGAGGTACACTTCTTTCTGAAGAATCTCTGATTGTGTGTATACCATACTCACTATTCCAGTCTATAAAGAGAAAGAATTAATTAAAATCATGCTAGTACAGAATAAATGCAAACATCAATGCCAAAGACTGGAGTGTTGTTGGTTTTTTTGTTTGTTTGGGTTTTTTTTTTCCTTTTCATTTTTATTAATACTTAGCTGGGTAACTTAAATGCTAACACATAACTTGGAGCGCTGAAAGAAAGTTGGTAATATACCAGGATGAAAAGCATGTTCTTCTTGAATATAGTCAATACATAATTTGTGTTACCTTAGGGAATTAGTTTGGGGGGTTTTAAAGAGTCTGAGACTAAAAATAATGACTTGTCACTTCATTTTTACTTTAAAATAAAGCAGACTGGAAATATTAGGGCCATTCCCAAAGTTTTCTAAGTTCTCCATCTCACTGATTAGTAGAAATTCTAATTATTTCTTTATAGAGACATTCAGGAAAGGATTATTTCAATAACTGTTTCCTCAGATTTAAGAAATCTTGGGGCAATAGGTAGTCATTTACAATGAAAACCCACTGGGCAAGCTTTATGCAACTTTTCAGTTCTCTTACAGAACTGAGTCTCGTCTTGAAATCTATAATCAAATACTAATCCTACAGTGGAATGGGACCGGATATTGGAATGGTGGGGCAAATGCTTCATAAATACTGAAGGAAACGCAAACTCACCGTCTCTTTATCCATGAGAAGCACTTTCATACCAGGTCCGCTGTCTTCTATCATTTTGGAAATGTACTGCTTCACAGCAAAAACCACGTTCATGGTGTCGAGTTGACAGGCGCCCCACAGCCCTTCCCGCCCCCCTTTCCTTGCTAAATAAACCCCCGGCCTGTCGGCGGGGTCTCAGTGGCTTCCTACCCTCCCCACTTTGGCTTCCGGGAGTCCGGGCGGCAGCGATGCTGGGAATTGTAGTTCCGCTATGAGGCCGGGGACGCCAATAGTTTCTTGGCTGCGTGTAAAGTGGGCCTGAGATCTCTTGGACCACCACGTACGGGGGATTCTCGACCCACCTCCTCCCTCGAGGCTCTGGAGTCCCAGACCTTCAGTTCTGGCAGCGATCTGAAATGCCTCGTGCCTTGGGAAAAGGGAGAGGCCTTCTGATATCGAAGGGACTTGGCTAAGGCTAGCTCTAAGCTGAGAACAGCAGAGTGGTTGGGTCATTATGCGCCTTTAACACTTTCTTGGATGGTAGTGAGAAATGAAAGGAATAGCAGTGGTGTGATCCTTCTGGGGGACTTGAACCACAGCTAGGGGGAATGGTACATACTACTTTCTAGGGTTTTCAGTGGGTGCTTCTCCCCACCAAGTAGATTGCCTGGCCTCTAGTTGGACTCAAACCGCCAACCTTCTGGTTAGCAGCCCAACGTGCTAACAGTTTGCACCACCCAGGGACTCCCAAGTAGGAACAGTGTACCTGTGTTAACAACCTGTAAAGTAGAGCCTTAATTAGTTTTCAGAAGACTGAGCAATTGAAATGGAACAAATATTTGCTAGGTGAAGAAAGTAGGGGAACCTCCTTTAGTGATAACTTCAAGGAGGTTCCTGGAGCTGGAGTCAACTGTCAAAACTTGCAGTTGGCCAGGACTCTCTGACCTGAGGGCACATCTGGTCCTCTGGGTCAGCATCTGAAGTTAGGAGCCCACTCCAATTCTCCATTCCCTACAGGGGACAAATAAAAGTCAAGAACTGGCTGTTTATAGAGGTGGACAAGTGGGCTCAACTCATCACAGCAGAAACAACAGAAATAAACCGTGTCTGCTCCTGTGCCATCCTTAGAATCTTTGCTGTGTTCAAACCCCTTATTTAACTGGTATATGACTGCTTGTTATATAAACTGCAGCTCCTTGATGGACTTCCTTTTTTCACTGAACCTCAACTTTTCCAAGCACAATGTCCTCTAGGAAAGGGCTAAAGGAAACTAGCCTGAGGATTTTGAGAAAGAGCCTGATTCACAAATTTTCGTTTGGTAAATGACAAAAATCTACCAAGAAAAAAAAACCCTTAAAACTGACAACTTCTAAATGTCTGTATATGTATTCCATAGATCTCTCCATCATGACATTTCAGTTGTAAAAAAAAAAAAAAGAATACATATTTTCCACTCTGTAACTTAGGAAAATTGTAAAATAAGGGAAATAATAAAAAACAACTGCAAGAAATCACTGCTTGTGGTGGTAGTGTTTTTATGTGCCCTCAAGTTGGAACAGATTGAGATTGTTAACAGCTTCAGCTTGCTTGGCTCCACAATCAACACTCTTGATACCAGTAGCCAGGAAATCAAAAGACTAATTGCATCGGGAAAGTTTGCTGTCAAAGACCTTTCCAGAGTACTGGAGAGCAAAGATGTCGGTCTAGAGACCAAGGTGCATCAGATGCAGGCCATAGTCTTCACAATTACATGGTCTATGCAATTACTTGTCAGAGAGCCAGACAATGACTAAGGATGATAGAAGAAGAATTCATGCATTTGAGTTGTGGTGCTAGAGAAGAGTACTGAACAATACTATGGACTGGTAAGAGAACAAACAGGTCTGACCTAGAGAGGGTGCGACCAGGCTGCTCCTTGGAGGCAAGGATTCTGAGGCTCTGTCTGACATACTTTGGGCTTGTTACAAGACATAATGCTTGGGAGAGTAGAGAAAGACCGTGGATGAGATGGATTGACTCAGTGACTGGGGTAATTGGGGCTAGTGTGTCAGAGACAGTGAGGTTGGTTCAGGATAGGACAAGGTTCAGAACTGTTGTACATAGGGTCACTATGAGTCACAAGCAACTTGGCAGCACATAACAACAACAACAACAACACGAAGTCAGAACTGACTCAGTTGACACTCTAGCAGGTTTTCAGAGGCTGGTAAATCACTTGGGAGGTGATTTCCATCTTTTTCTTTCTCAGGGCACCTGACAGATGTATTCTAACAGCTTGACTTTGGGTTGGCAGCACAGCTCCCTACCTCTGGGGCACCAGAGTTCCTTCAGCGATTGTAAATACGTGTAAATATTTCCACCAAGATGATAACCAATGTTTCTTGGGGTCAGTTTAATAATAGATTCAACATTACCAAATAATCTTATTACTATAATGTAAAAAAATAAACTATTAAAATTGGACTTATAGAATATTAATCTTAATTAAGCTGCAGAAATGAGTTTATGTAACAATACATGCAATTTTCAAACTCTTTAAGGAAAAAAGCCACTTGAAGTATCATAGATTTATGTCATCCCTGAAGAACCCTATGGCACAGTGGTAGGTGTTCAGTGGCAAAATAAAAGGTCCTGGGTTCAAATCCATCAGCTCCATAGAGATTTATAGTCTTAGAAATGTGATGGAGCAGTTTTTCACCACCCCTGAAATAGTGAAGAATGTGTTTACTTTTCTTCCCTTTTCAATCAACTAAATAAAATAATCTTCTCATTGAGAATTTTTCTATGTTCATATTTATGGCTAGAAAGAAAAGCCTTAGATTACATATTAAAGTGAAACACAAATCTTTCTACATGATAAAACAAAACCCCAAATACTGCCCTAACTCGATTCTGACTTATGGCGTTACTTCATGTGTTACAGAGTAGAACTGTTTTGTAATGTTTTCTTTTTAAATTTTTTTTTGGTATATTTTCTTAATTCCGCGCTTTCTGCAGCCAACCACTAAATCTTTCTTTTGAAGCCCTCTGGATGAGTTTCAACTGACAAGTTTGAGCTAAATGATATTCTTACTGGTATAAAATGTTCATATATTTTTGAATCAGCAAACCAAAGTTAATTTAAAAAAATTAAACTCACCTGCAAATCCTATCAGTTACTGATGTTAGAAGTTCACCTCCACACTCTGTATCACTTAGGTTTTTGAGTTTTCTTTTAACCTACATTTTGGACTCAGTATTTCATAAAATTATTTTCCATCTGTTATATATTTTCAGAAAGAACATAAAATTGTGGTTTTTTTATTTTAGAAAATAGTCAAACTATAAGTTATATGTGGAAAAAAACAAACACTCTTCTGGTTATTCATATTTGGACATTTTGAGGGGGGAAGGAAATGTATATTTTAATAAGACTTACTGATAGATTTGTTGATGTCAATAACAGTGATATTATACAATAAGTAATAAAGTATGGGACATAAACCATTTGAACAAAATGTGTAGATAGTTGTTATCTTCAAAGGTCAGCCTTAGAAATTTGCTGGAGGGTCAGTTATGAGTTAGTTCCAATTCAATGACAATGAGCAGCCTGCTTCCTGAAGAATGAAAGCCAATGCAAATGTCACCAGATTAAGAATATCTTTTGCAGCATGAAATGTCTAGAAATAAGACTAAAATAATGATTGAAATGTTGTTGTTGTTGTTATGTACGGTCGAGTAAACTGCAACCCACAGCCACCCTTTGTACAGCATCTCTGAAGCCTGCCTGGTCCTGAGCCAGTCTCAGGACACTAACACACCTACACCCATTGCTGTAGTTACTGTATCAATTTATCTCTTTGGGGTCTTCCTCTTCTGCACCATCTCTCCACCCTTTCAAGCATGATGTCCTTCTCCAAGGACCGATCTCTCCTGGCCACATGCCCAAAGAATGTGAGTTGGCGCTTCAACATCCTAGTCTCCAAGGAGAAACTTGGTTTCACTCTCTCTAAGACAGACCTATTTGTTTCCTTGGTGGTCCATGGTATGTTCAAGACTCTTCTCTAGTATAACAGTTTGAAGGCATCAATTCTTCTGTCATCCTTAGTCATTGTCAAGCTCTCTGATGCATTGCAAGTAATTTCGAAGAGCATGGCCTGGATTAGGCGCACCTTAGTCTCTAGACTGACATCATTGCTTCTCAGTACTCTGGAGAGGTTCCTATTTGCAGATTTACCCAGTGCAATTAATCTTTTGATTTCCTGGATGCTGGTGCCAAGAGTGTTGATTGTGGAGCTGAGGAAGGTGTAATTGTTAACAACTTCAAGCTCTTCACCATCTCTAGTACCTCCAATCGGCCCAGACGTGAGAAATAAACAGCCCAAATTCTTGTTTTGTGACCCTTCAGGAAACCTCAGAATGACCTCTGTTGTAGACAAGAGTAAACAATCTGTAATTACAAACATTTTCACTAATAAGAGTATTAAATTTTATAATATACCATGTTGTTGTTGTTGTTTAATGCCATCGAGTCGTAGACGACTCATAGCGACCCTATGAACGAACAGCCTGAGCACTGTTCGTACATAGAGTTTCCGGAGGCAAGCCATTTCGGAAGTGGATATTAACTACACAAATTTCCAATGCAGTTACTTCAAAACTTTATGTCAATAGGTGCAAAAATTGAAGTTTCAAGCTGAAAGAATTGAAAAACAGGGAGCTCTGGTGGCCTACTGGCAAGAAGCTGTGCTGCAATCCTAAAGGCAGGAGATTTGAATCCTGAAATCCCCAAAGGTGCTCAATTCGAATCCACCAGATGCTCTGCTATAGAAGGAGGGGCAATCTCCTCTTGTGCCAGTCAGAGACGATTCGACGGCACACACATGAAAAGGGAAGGGAGAAGAAAAGGGGGGGGGGGGGGATCAAGAATTGGGAAACAAATTCAAGCCTAGAGTTGCAACACTAAGAGACGCTGTGGGAAATATCTGAAATGATCTAGGAAACATCAAAAGAAGATGGAAGGAATACACAAAATCACTGTACCAAAAAGAATTAGTTGACATAGAAAAAAATGTTAAGAAGTATTTTCCTCATTCCCAAGAAAGATCCAATGGAATGTAGAAATTATCGAACAGTATCATTAATATTGTTCTTGTTGTGAAGTGCCATCGAGTTGTAGGCG